ATATATATATAGAGAGAGAGAGAGAGAGAGAGAGGGAGAGAGAGAGAAAATTCACTTACTCAAGACAAATAGTAAGTTTTGGTAGACTTACTTCACTCAATAACTTATGTTTTACATCAAATTTCAATAATTCAACACTTAAATTAAAAGTTCTTAATTCACACATCAAGTATGTAAACTTTTTTTAAAAATAAAATATTTAATATTTTATTTCACTAATTCAAATTGATAAATAATCATAAAAATATTTTACATATTGATCTAAATCTATATAAGAAAGTATTAAGTAATTTTCAATTTTCTTTAAATTTGCAAGTTATATTAAAAACTTTTAATTTAATGATCAAATCATTAAAATTTGATATAGAACATTAATTATTGAGTGGAGTAAGTCTATCAAGACTTACTCTTGAAATAAATATATCCCTTATGTGTGTCCGCACACACACATATATATTAACAATTTAATCGTTAGATTAAAAAATTTTAATACATAGGTCAAGTTCACATATTTTTAATTTTTTTTTAAAACTATTTAATTCGTTATTTCATTAATTTAAATTGACATGTAATATAAAAATATTTTAACATTGATTTGAATCTATATGACAAAATATTCAATAATTTTCAATTTTTAAAAAAAAAAATTGTAAGTTACATGAAGAACTTTTAATTTAACAATTGAATTGTTGAAATTTGATATAAAAATGAGTTATTAAGTAAAGTAAATCTATTAATATTTACTCTTGGAGTAAATAAATCTCTCATACGTGTTTATATATATATATATATATATATATATATATATATATTAACAATCAAACTATTAATTTAAATTTTTTTAATACATATAAATTTGCAAATTTTTTAAAAATTTAAAAAAATTTGATATTTCATTTCATTAATTCAAATTGACAGATAATCATAAAAGTATTTTATACATTGATCAGAATCTATATAATGAAATATTAAAATAGTTTTCAATTTTTTAAAAAAATTTGTAACATTAAGAACTTTTTGAGTTTCGCAGGTCCAGTGAGCGCCTAACTTACCAAGTTTTAGATAGCTAGAGTGTTAAGTTTCAGATGGATAAGAGCCAAATTAAATAACAACTAAAATTCAACTCAAATGATCATCTGATAATGCAATTGCAAAAGTCACGGTTAGACTGAGGGGTGAATGACTGGATTCCCCTGAAATCCACTTACAAGAGACAATACCTGTTGTTACATATCATGGGAACTTGATTTCTCCAAATGGTGAATCATTGTGACTCGTTCGAATGTAGAGGAATCACTATCCAATATTGCCTCAGCTCCCCGCATGTGTGTATGTGACACGCAAGATAAATGCTTTAGCTGCTTGAGTTTTTGTAGCTGTTCTTGTTTTCTCTTCTCAACCAGGTCAAATCACTTAACTTGAAAAGGGACAACACCGGAATCAACTAGAAAGTAAAGATGCTTGGAGCTGGCATGTGGCCAAGCCACACCAAAGTGCCACAATAAACCACTAAGAAAAATAAGTTGCTAAATTAACTCTAAACCCTCGCAGCTCCATGTCTATTAGTCAACTTCAACTTTTTCAGATTTTATGCCACATCAGGCTTGAGGCTCAACAATCATCCACACGTTAGTCATCCATATCAAGATTAGATCCAAAATATTGCGGTCATCACTTAACATTTCTCCTTCCCTAATGCCCAGAAGTCTTCTTGGCCTAACTACTTGCAGAGAAGAAGAATGATGTTCATTGAGGAAGAAAACATAAACATCAAGATAATAAATTTCCCACATGAATTGCTTGCTTGTCTGCCTAACTAATAGTACATGTCAACATGGATGAAATAAAATGTTAATACAGAGTGCCCAGCATGGCAGGTGAACTACACCTATATAGAGGTAAGTAGCACTGTTCCAAGCCCAGAGGGATTCCAACCAGTTCCAATAGTCACTAACATTAATACCATAAAAGTCTTCAAATGCACCTTTCAGTAAAACAAATGCAACTGGAGGAAACCCAATAAAACCTAAAGCGAGATTACAAGAGGCCCTTAGTAAGGTTCTCCAGCTCCTAGCTTGAGTATCAAGCTTCAATGGTCTAGCCAACAGACAAATCGGGACAATAAGTAAAGCCCCAATTTCTGCTGTAGCAAAGTTAATGACGGACATGAGAGACAAACCAATGAATGCAGTTGATATAGTTACAGACTTTAAGCTAGCCCACTTGTTTTTCTCATGAAGAGATACAGCAGCTTCAAAAATTGGAGAACCCAATATCAAGTATAAAATTAGCAAGCTAGAGGCTGATAGCGAACCCCACAATATAAAGTTTGTTGTTGGGGTGGTATTGGGTACTTGACATAGAAAAAACGGGAGTAAGGAGACAACAACACCCCATAAATGAATGACCAAAACCTTTCTAGCCGAATTCAACCATTTCCAAGATTTGTGGCTGGCATCAACTTCTAGGGCAGATGTGTTTTGGGGAGTAGAATTACTAGCATTGGAATGGAGATATGCTGCAACTATTGGAAGTGGTGCAACAAGTAATGCAAATGAAATCATGTAAACTCCAACCGACACAAATTTACTAGGAGATGTCAAGAGATATAAAAAAAATGATTGATGAAACTTCTCTAGAAGGTTGTTTATTGAACGTATCACTCCTTCAATTAACCTGCAATATGTACAAAACACTTTGCTCATGGTGATCAAACAGAGAAAGATATGTGCTTTAGAGCATACATAAACAGAAGCAGTAATACACAGTTCTTAAAATGTTAAAGCTAAATATCATTCTATAGAATTAAAAGATTTGCATGTAATGAGAATAATAGTTTCCTATCACAATTCACAACTACAACTATATCAATGGAAAAAGGAAATAAAAAAAGATACCAAAGCATTACCCAATTAAATTTTCATGTTAAAGACTTCAAGAATTTCTTTATCTAAAAATATATGAAAATAGACAAGCACTACCCAATTAAAATTTTCATGTTAAAGGGATCCTGAGACTGAACCGAGTCTTCAAACAACTACCCAAACTTTTCTTTCTTTGGTTTCAAAAACAAGTACAAGATGTTTATAATTTTATACAGTTTCTTGATGGTAAATGGCAAACATAAACAGGACATTATACTATAATTAAGAACTAAAAAATTGTAAAACTTCTACAGTGATTCCCATTGAAAGCCAGCAATTTATTCCATGGTTGATATTCAATACAATTAAATAATACAACTCATGAGTGACACATACCTTCCACCACGGAGAATGAATTCATTACGCCTGATCATTTTAGTAAGAGAAACTTTAGGTGAAATCTCCAGAGTGATTGCATCAACTTGATAATCACGGAAAGCACCATGAGGACCAGTTGGAACACCCAAACCCTGAGTGGAATAATGTACAGATAAAGAATATTTATAAAGTGGTCACAGGGAATATTATAATAACACATTTTAGATGAAGTAAAAGAAAAACACCTGGTAATACAATGAACTTGCCAATGTAGCAGCACCCTCAACATACTCAGTAGCAGGAAT